GGTATTGAAAACATACTGGAGGGTATTGCATGTAGACAGAAAGGAATGAGTTTAAGTTGTGCCCTGGATGTTGTACCTTAAGTTAATTTTATTTACAACAAGGATGCTGTCACATAAGTAAGGGTGAAAGCCACTATTAACACAGTGCTTGAAAAAGTCATATTTTTCAATCTCTCACCTACATGGTTCCTTCTTCATATAATACTTTGAAGTCTGCCGACAGTTTTCCATTCTTAAAATAGGTATTTCATTTTGGTTTTCTAAATTATGAAGCTGAAAATTTGGCTTATCAGACACTGTATTTTATTGATGGCTGTGATTATATAGAAAGGTTATTTGTATGATAGTTATTTTTTTTTATTTTTATTTTATATGAAACATGCTGTTTTTCAACGTTTACCCAGTGGATTAGAGATGCTAATTTTTAATATCAAGTAGGTAGAATCATCTGCATTAGTTGACATGCTCATGTATAGAATTGTTGAAGGAATGACATGTTTATTGTAGCAAAATCACAAACATCCTGCAGGAAATTCTTTAAACATACACTTAACATATAAGTTTTGTAATGAATACAGTTTTGATCTCAGTTATTAGTTGCTCTTTTGAAACATATTAGACTACCTGAGGATTACACAGGTCTGCAACCAAAAAACTGCATAGGATATTTTTACTGTTTCTTATAGATTTTTACTCACTAAAACCGGAAGTAATAGTAAAGAAAATCCATTACGTCAATTTTTTTGCAAAACTCATATTTTTAGTCTAATTTTGCGTGAAATTTCTCTTCAACATGAAATCTTGTATCCTATTGTTGATTCTAAAAACCATATCCAATAATTATTTCTTACTTTAAAATAATATTTATAAGAGTGAATCTAAAAAATAATACAAATAGAAAATGGGTGGGATGGGGGGTTAGTGGAAGGGGTTGGTAGGGTGGTTTTGGCGGTGTGAGGAGCTCAGGCGATCATGTCCCAACACGTTTACTTTGTTTGTAGTGAAAGGTGAGGAATCTTGCTAGCTCGGTTGAGCATGTTTGGACATGTTCTTTGGGGCAATAACAATGAGTATAAACAACCCTGCTGTCAGATTTGATCATGTCTCAACATGCTAAATAAGTTCAGGATCTTGGTTGATGTATAAGCCACTCAGTTTACATCCTGCATTCAAACGTGACTGTGCTTATGTTTTAGCTCTGTATTATGGTTCAAAGAGGTTGTGTTATTTCTCCGGACAACTTTTGTTTTATTTGTGGTGAATACATAGTTAAAAGTCAACAAAGAAACATAAGTGATTTTGTGAAGAAAGTGTATATGCTTATTTCAAATTGAAACTTGGGGATCAAGACAAACGTTGGGCTCCTCACAAGGTGTGCAGAAGGTGCGAGGAAGATCTTCATTTGTGGTTTAAGGGTAAGAAAAACTCATTTCGTTTTGGCATTCCTGTGATGTGGCGTGAACAGCAAAACCACACGACTGATTGTTATTTCTGTTCGGTAGATGTGAAAGGCATTAATACAAAAAATAAAAATAAAATATCTTACCCAAACCTTAATTCAGCTATTCGTCCAGTGCCTCATAGCTCTGAAATACCAGTTCCCCTCCCACCTTCTAGTTTGGATGATGTACAGAGTGATTTGGAGGACAGAACTATATTTCCACCCCAGGATGAATTCAGCTCAGATTTTTCTGTTGATGAGGGGCCCCGACCTTTTTCTCAGAGTGAGCTCAATGACTTAGTTAGAGATTTAGGCCTTTCCAAAGATGCAGCCGAATTGCTAGGGTCAAGACTAAAAAATAAAAACTTGCTGTCACTTGGAACATCATTCTCGTGGTACAGGCACCGAGAGAAGGAATTCACTCAGTTTTTCTTCAAAGAGGGAAATGGGAGAAAAGGAAAAAGAAGCATGGGACTCCTTCAAAGACATAGTGCACAAGTTTTTGGGGAACACTAAAGACCCTCTCTACAAAACCAATGTACAACGCATGTTGGCTGCATATAAAGCTCAAGGTTGCAAGATGAGCTTAAAAGTTCGTTTCTTACACTCCCATGGCGACTATTTTCCCCAAAACTTGGGAGCCTATAGTGAAGAGCAGGGTGAACAATTTCACCAGGATGTCCATGATCTCGCAAGACGCTACCAAGGAAGATGGAATGCAAATATGCTAGCTGACTACTGCTGGATGATCAAGCGGGAAACGGAAAATGGAAAGCGCAAGCGTGCTCGGAGAAGCATCAAAGAGAAGAAGAAAAGGTTTCACAGGCAATAAGACTGAACACAGAATGTTAAATATATCATGAAAGAATTGTTTGTTTAATTATGAGAAATAATATGTTTAGTTCAATGTAATAAAATTAGTGATTTTTTTTCATCACTGTTATGATTTTTTATTGTAAACCCCTATTATTTTCCAAAAAACCGTACGTGATAGGGGGAAATTGAGGTCATTTTTGGATTCAGCATCCTCGAAAACATAAAGTTTAACAAAAATATTCCATGCAGCTAAAAAAAAAATATTTTTGCAGACCTGTGTTATTAGCAGTTTTCTTCAGTCCTCCATAGAAATGTTGAGTTAGTGCATTTGTTAATGCAAATAATAAATAATGGGGGGGTCCCATGGTTTAAATTAATAAGATTAAAAAAGGGTAGAACATAAATCTGTTGTAGTCTTCTGGGTTGTGACACTGTATAGTGTTGTAAGGGGATACCACGTTTCAGAGGATATACTCTTACTGCCTCCATCTTCAATGTTGAAGTGTGTAGGTTCAGGAATAGGCTTTTTTCTAGGTTTCTCATTAATGATGCTGTCAGGATAAGGACTATATAGTGTCAATGATAAGATGATTAATGAATATGGAGCAATTAGTGGAATGAGAATTGGCTGGGGAAAGCGAAATATTCGGAGAACATGCCCCGGTACCACTCTGTCCACCCCAAATCCTACATGATTTGACCTGTGATCAGACCTGGACTGCCGTGGTGGAAACACAGCAACTAACCGCATGAGCTATGGAACAGTTTGGTGATAACAACTTACAAGGAAAGGTGGTCATGAGACCCAAAAGGTCAACTAAGATTAAGTTAATATCATCTCTCTCTCTCCCTCTCTTCTATGCCTGAGATTCACAAAGTGGTCCCCTCCCACGGAGTAAGCCAAATAAAATTGTAATAATATCCACGGTATGACCCATATACCATATTTAAATTTACACCACTGGTGTCAACTGTAAATAAGTAACAGAAGTTAACATCTTCAAGATAGGCGTCATATGTTGGAATATTAATCCAACACTAATTGCGGTTATATTTGTATTGATTGAGCAGATAAACCTCATTGTATTAAATGATGTTTGGCATTGTTTTCTCCCTAAAAGTGCTAATACTAAGTTTTTATTTCAAAGACGGCATTTCAAGATGTCGTAAGGCCACGCCATAACTCAAGCGGTTAGTCGCTGGCTTCCCAACTCGGCGGCCCAGGTTCGATCCCGGGTCTGGTTAAGTGGGATTTGTTGCGGACAAAGTGGCGCTGGGGCAGGTTTTCTCCGAGTACCTCGGTTTCCCCTGCCAATCTTCATTCCACCAACTGCTCCACAATCACCCTCACCTGTCATTTGGGGCTGGTACAATAGGCCAGAAGTGGCCGCAGTACAAAGGACTTAGTCCCACACCACTGGCAATAATAATAATAATAATAATCATCATCATCATAAAAGCCGTAAAACGGGTTAACACTGATTTCAGCTTGCGTTTGGTTTTTTAAAAACAGCAAATATGAATTATGGCAAACTGCTAACTGCAAATTACCTGAATTCCAGTAACCATAATTCGAGCGCGTAGATGTTTCGATCATTCCACTCAAAACCAACCTGCATTCGCATATTAAACAGTAGCTTGCATGCAGCAATCGAGTGACATAATGCTGAAACTCTGGCTGTCTGGTAAAGAAAATGCAAGGTTGGCAGGAGCTGGAAATTTGTGTAATTATATTACTCTGGCGATTGTCCGTGGAATACCGCATCTGTTAGTTACAAAAAGGAGGTGATATTGGAGGTGCTGACAAAGAAATAGTGAATGGAATGAGTGAACGTGATTGCGTTTATTTTGTCGAATTTTTATGTAATATTCTAGAATTAACCTCAATCTGCGAGAATCTTGTGGTCGGGGAAGAGGTCATTGCGTTCGAGCATGAAAGTCGATGGAATTGAAGGATAGTTAATGAACTGAGGTTGAAAAATAACGTTAACTCAGTGAACAGTTATTGTGTATTGCGAAACACACACAGCGACATCGTTCGTACGGAAAAATGTCGTACGACCTCCTTTTTACACTATACCGACATTATCGGCACCGAATCGCAGTTTTGATGAAGGAACAATGAACGATGGACCGAGAGCGCGTTCTTGCTATGCGGTATTTTCACCGACGCCGCAAAGAAAAACGGAGGCAGCAGGATATATTGCACTGGGTGCATCCAATCAATCAAAGGCGAGATGAAGTTGTGGTTCGATCCGACTGTCGTGCGGGAGATGTTGCATGTCGTCACGTATGAAAGCTAAAGGACTCAGAAGTGTGGAATTGTGCTGCATCTAAGTGGATGGCAGAGGGTGGTGGGGGACAGGGATAGAGGTCACAGAAGCACCATAGACGTGAATGAATTCTTAAGTCAGGGTGTAAAAATCAATCTGTTGCTTTGCCCAACTATTTACTTCTGAATTCTGAACAAGGTTCTGTAATAGTTTGTGGTATGTGAGGTCCTCACAGCAATGGTTAGGAAGAGTTGTTATATGCTGGGATATAATGCGTGTAGTCTCCATTGGAAGCCAACCCTCATTTTAATGGAATGTGTCTCCATTTTTAGGGTTGAAGTGTAAGCAAAGCAAGAAATCAGCATGAAACAGGCAGCAAGCAAAACCCTACAGGTGAAGGCAACATGTTCCTCCGAAATGTCAGTTGACTTTCAACAGACAACACGGTGTTGTGTCCCAGATGATAGAACTCTTCTCCAATAGATTATTAAATGTTTTGTATATTATTGTTCCAAAACAAAAAATTGAGGGAAAGCACACCAAACAGTAACTTTGAGAGTCTGCTTATGAATCATGGGAACTTACTGCGGGGGAAGCCTATGAATTGTAAGATTTTGAAAACAAAGGTTTAAGAAAATATTGGAACCAAGGAGAAGCAGCCGAGATATCAAAGAATGAGGGACCTTGTTATTTACACCTGTCACCCAGTACTATTATGATTTTGAAATGTAAGGTGGTTAAAATATTTGGAGAAAGATCAATACATAATTCTGTTGGGGAAGCCTGCTGGAATGTGGCCACCATGAAGACTGAGGAGTTGGGACCTTAGGAACTGTGTTGTGAGAGAGGGAAGTGGATGAAAATGACTCAAGATAGTGTTCAAGGGCAGGCAGGCTTTGGCACTAGTAATGCTGAACCTTTGGTTTCAGCTGGCAGAGAAATAACAGTTCAGTCAGTGCATCGCAACAGCTGACATCTATGCCTGATAGACTCTGTAATTCTGTTTCCACTTTTGAGCATGTTCATACTGTGGTACACTGGCTTACATGGCCCTGGAAGCTGTTCTGGCGGCTCCCTCCACCTGTGGTGTGGTAAGTACCTGATATTTTTGTGACATAGGAATAGTGTTTTAATATTTTTATGTAACTGAACCCATCACTTATGACTGCTACAAAAAGATCAGCGTGTCGTTAAAATAATTCATTTGCCATACAGGGAATGGCAACTGTTATAGTGATTTTGAATTTTTATAATTGCCGAACTTATGAAACTTATGTTGTCAAAACATAGGCCTGTATTTTATACAGATACATGAATGGAGAAAAGCAAGGTGAATTTGTTCATATGAAGGATTAAATTTTAAAATACCAATGTGTGCAGCCTGCTCTGCCATCCGAAGTTAGATGCAGGACCCTTAATATGTGTATGAAAGACAAAATTAATGAGCTTGCAATGAACGGTAAGAACAAGAATATTAGAGACCAGTATAGAGGAATAAATGACATTAAGACGGGTTACCAACCTAGAAGTAACTTAGTGAAGGATGAGAATGGTGATCTGCTTGCAGATTCCCACAACATTTTGATTAGGTGGAAGAACTGCTTCTCTCAGTTATTGAATATACATAGGGTCAGTGCTGTTAGGCAGACAGAAATCCGTACAGCTGAGCCGTTAGTACCTGATCCTTGCCCTTTTGAGGTTGAAAGTGCTATTGCAAAATTGAAAAAGCATAAATCACCAGGTAGTGATCATATTCTGGCAGAACTTGTTCAAACAGGAAGCAAAATATTACATTCTAAGATCCACGAGCTAGGTACTTCTATTTAACATAAGGAAAAATTACCTGATCAGTGGAAGGAGTCTATTATTGTACCAGTTCACAAGAAGGGTGATAAAACTGACTGTAGTAATTATCGGGGGATATAACTGCTATCAACTTCATACAAAATTTTATCCAACATTCTTCTCTCAAGGTTAAGTCTATACATAGATGAAATTATTGGGGATCATCAGTGTGGGTTTCGATGTAACAGATCAACTACAGATCAGATCTTTTGTATTCATCAGATATTGGAGAAAAAATGGGAGTACAGTGAGACAGTACATCAGCTATTCATAACTTCCAAGAAAGCCTATGATTCAATTAGGAGGGAAGTATTGTACAATATTCTAATAGAGTTTGGGGTACTCATGAAACTGATTAGGCTGATTAAAATGTGTTTAAACTGAACATGTAGTAAAGTTTGTATGGGCAAACATTTGTCTGATAAATTTCCTATCAAGAATTGTCTAAAACAAGGAGATGCTTTAATGCCACTTCTTTTCAACTTTTCTTCATAATATACCATTAGGAAGGTCCAGGAAAACCAGGTGGGACTTAAATTAAAGGGGGCACAACAGCTGTTGGTCTGTGCCGATGATGTGAATCTACTGGGTGATAATGCAGATACCATAAAGAAAAACACTCAAACTTTAATTGACGCTAGTAAGGAGGTTGGTCTAGAAGTAAACACAGAGGAAGGTAAGTATATGTTGTTGTCTCGTCACCAAAATGCAGGGCAAAATCATGACATAAAGAGAGGAATCAGATGTTATGAAGATGTGGCACAGTTCACATATTTGGGAGCAACGATAACAAATCAAAACCTGATGGAGGAGGAAATTAAGAGGAGATTGAACTCGGGTAATGCTTGCTACCATTCAGTCCAGAACCTTTTGTCATCTTGTCTGCTGTCTAAAAACATAAAAATTACAATATACAAAACTATAATCTTGCATGTGGTTCTGTATGGGTGTGAAACGTGGTCTCTGAGTTTAAGGGAGGGACATAGACCGAGTGTTTTTGAGAACAGGGCATTGAGGAGAATATTTGGATCGAAGAGAGATGAACTGATAGGGGGGTTGGAGAAAACTGCATAATGTGGAGCTTCATAACTTGTACTCTTCCCCAAGTATAATTAGAATGTTGAAGTCAAGGAGGATGAGGTGGGTAGGGCATGTAGCACGAATGGTGGGGAATAGGAATGCATATAGGATATTGGTGGAAATGTCAGATGGAAAGAGACCACTGGGAAGACCAAGGTATAGGTGGGTGGATAGTATTAAAATGGTTCTTAGAGAGGTAGGATGGGATGGTATGGATTGGAGTGATCTGGCTGAGGATAGGGACCAGGGGAAGGCTCTTATGAACACCGTAATGAACCTTCTGTCTCCATAAAATGCTGGGAAATTCTTCTGTAGCTGCAGATTTGGTTTCTTCTCAAGAAGGGCTCAGCTGCAGAAGTAAGTAAATTCTGAGATAAGAATATTACGAGTATTACAGAAGTCCAGTATCAGTTATAAGCCTTAGTAATGTCCTTAAAATTAACATTTGGCATAGTTACTGTCTCGGATTACACAGTGAATCTAAGGGGTGTGAGACAGTGTAATTTGGAAGTTCACCGACGTTTCGGATGAACGTCCTGCCTCCATCATCAGGGTCGAAGAGGAGCTACGCGTGAATTAAGCCGTAATCAGAGCGATCTGCTTGAGTCTTGCACGTTGCTTGGCTTACGCTTCGACCCTGAAGATGGAGGCAGTACGGAGTCAGAGCCAGAGTTACTTTACGACTGGCGGTTTACCGCCAATCATTTCGTCATGGCGTCAAGCCCCTTCAGGTCCACGACCAGAGATTTTTTTTTCTAACTGAACTCTTGCGGTAATAGTCCTTATGTAACATCCTCTCTGACGAGAAGATGGATCTGTCTCTTATGAATACACTCGACCTTTCGTCAAGTGTATATTTCGCACATATAATATGTTATCGAAAACTCTTCCTTTTGCACTACACACAAGTCCTCTGTCAGTACAGGCTTTACAGAGCAGATCATTCCTAACTTACAGATCTTACGCTACAACGTTCGAGGCAGTACGGTCCTTCGAAATATTGTTTAATATTAATATTAATGCCAAACTTCGGGAGGGTGTTCCTTATGTTAAAGTATGCCGATATAACCCAAAACACCTATGTCCAAAGTTGAACGGTTACGGAGATAATGGCCCGAGAAAAGTGTGGTCTTCTAGCGGGTCCACGGATTATACCTATCAGCTGAGAGGAATTATCTCTGTTTGTCCTTGACTGCCGTGATTCATCCTATCCGTGCTTATGGAGTTGGCTTTATCAGAACGCGCAGTCAGCACGTTACGTCATCGCTTACCATTCATGTGTCATGTACAGTGCTTGGAACTCTTAACGACAACTTTGAGATGGCATGCGAGTTTTTTGTACTTCAATTTTATGGCTTCATGTCACTCACAAGTTAGTTTGATGTTACGTACATTATTAACGTTACAGAATCCACATATTCCTGCCAGTTTTAATATCTATTTTGTAATCAACAAGTGTGTAACCCCGGTCAAAGTTTGACACTTCTCTGGCCATTATCTCCGTAACCGTTCAACTTTGGACATAGGTGTTTTGGGTTATATCGGCATACTTTAACATAAGGAACACCCTCCCGAAGTTTGGCACATTCCTCCTGGGACACTCTGTATACCAGACTATACGGCATCACAGCATGGCATCCCAGAAGACATTATTCTTCATAGTCGCTTCTGCGGGAGTCTCAAGTCTAAAGAGTGGACACTGTTTAAATTGCAAAATGTGTAAAAGGTGAAATTATCATTGTGTTTAATTAAGCACCAAGACGTAAGAGGGTTTGGAGGTATAGCTCCATGCATTCCTAAAATCTGCACTGGATTGAGGTGAGTGGGCAGCTTCACATTGCGCCAGGTTTACCTCATAGAAAGAGCGGCCGGTCCCCATTCGATAAGAGGTTGAGTGGGCCCCAGAGAAGGTTTGAATTCTGCGGGGAAGAAAGTAAGCCTATTTCCTGTGCTGCCGGGAAGAGAACCTCTATTCCTCGGTCAGCCTGTCTATACTCCCTATAGAGTGAGGTGTTTCTAATTCCTTCTGAAGGTTATATGTTGTGGAATAATATGGCCAGGTAATCATGAATGGGTTCTAGCGATTACGTAAGGATTTAAAACGGGATAGTGGCTTTCTTTAAGGTACTGCCGCAGTATTCGCTTAGACAAGCTGATGAGGACCATGGAAAAGCTTAGTCAGGAAATCTGGTGGTTCCTGAAGAGTTCCAACCGTGTTCCTTTGAAACTGAAGCTACAGCATTGCTGTTAACGTAACCCAGCCAGTTTATCGTATTGATCTCAGCATTAATAAACGTAATTTTCACTGCTTTGGATCCAGATTGAATGTAAATGGCAGACTAACATCTGACTCGCTTTCATGGAAAGTATCTGATCTCTATGCCGACAGAGAACGAACAAAGCAATAATAGTAGTTCTTTCGACAGTGACATTCTGACGTTTAGTGTAGCGCTGCCTAACCACTTCAACTAAGGAGCCGCGCAATATGTCGACAATAGAAAAGACGGAAGGACGCACTACTTATTACAAGAAGTTCTGGGAAGACGACACGAACCGCATAGAAAACGACGCGTCCAAAAATTTCTCGTTCCCGGGGGGGACTTGTTTACCGAGCCGTCTAGAAACGACAGGCGGGGATAACTTTTAATGACTGGAGCACATGAACATTAATGACTGATTGTTGCATTAATTGACAAAGCTTCTCCAGCTTCTTGGTGTATAGGCCTAGAGTGGAGAACGATGATTATTATGAATACCGAATTATAAAGGGCACAGAATGAAAAATTCATAGCATATTTTGAAGTAACCTAGAGTGCCATCATTTGCTTGTAGGCTGAGGGACTAAGAATAGACTGTCTGCTAGGAGACATTTAAACCTGTAACCTCACAAACGCGGACCGATAGTAGGATATTAGACAACCGTTAATATACAGTCGATTAGAAAAGTTAACCCTAGAGTCTCTCTCAGACTAGGTAAAAGGCAAAGTTGTCCCTGTGTTTAACTAATTAAGAACTACGCAATGAAGGCATATGGGGGAGTGCGGTTATGGATCCATATTTTCTTGACCTCGGCATTAGGTGGAGCTGAGTGGTCAGCTTCACACCCCTGCCGCTTTGACCCCGGGTGAAGAGCCCCCGGCACGCATTTGGATAGGAGGCTGGGTGG